GTTGATGTGTCATTGAGACTACTGCCATATGGCCCTGTATGACATAATTGTGTTGATTTGTCATTGAGACTACTGCCATATGGCCCTGTATGACCGTTTTCTGTTGATGTGTCATTGAGATTTCTGCCATATGGCCCTGTGTATGACATTAATGAGTTGATGTGTCATTGAGACTACTGCCATATGGCCCTGTATGACCGTTTTGTGTTGATGTGTGATTGAGATTACTGCCACATGGCCCTGTATGACCGTTTTCTGTTGATGTGTCATTGAGACTTCTGCCATATGGCCCTGTATGACATTATTGAGTTGATGTGTCATTGAGATTTCTGCCATATGGCCATGAATGATCATTTTGTGTTGATGCGTCATTGAGACTACTGCCATGGCCCTGTATGACATTATTATGTTGATGTGTCATTTGAGACTACTGCCATGGCCCTGTATGACCGTTTTCTGTTGATGTGTCATTGAGATTTCTGCTATATGGCCCTGTATGATATTATTGTGCTGATGTGTCATTGAGACTACTGCCATATGGCCATGTATGACATTATTGTGTTGATGTGTCATTGAAACTACTGCCATATGGCCCTGTATGACCATTTTGTGTTGATGTGTCATTGAGACTACTGCCATATGGCCCAGTATGACCGTTTTCTGTTGATGTGTCATTGAGACTTCTGCCATATGGCCATGTATGATCATTTTGTGTTGATGCGTCATTGAGACTCCTGCCATGGCCCTGTATGACATTATTATGTTGATGTGTCATTTGAAACTACTGCTATGGCCCTGTATGACCGTTTTCTGTTGATGTGTCATTGAGACTACTGCCATATGGCCCTGGATGACCGTTTTGTGTTGATGTGTCATTAAGACTTCTGCCATATGGCCCTGTATGATCATTTTGTGTTGATGCGTCACTCAGACTACTGCCATGGCCCTGTATGACATTATTATGTTGATGTGTCATTTGAAACTACTGCTATGGCCCTGTATGACCGTTTTCTGTTGATGTGTCATTGAGATCTCTGCCATATGGCCCTGTATGACATTATTGAGTTGATGCGGCATTGAGACTACTGCCATGGCCCTGTACGACATTATTGTGTTGATGTGTCATTGAGACTACTGCCATATGGCCATGTATGACATTATTGTGTTGATGTGTCATTGAGACTACTGCCATATGGCCATGTATGACATTATTGTGTTGATGTGTCATTGAGACTACTGCCATTGCCCTGTATGACATTATTGTGTTGATGCGTCATTGAGACTACTGACATGGCCCTGTATGACATTATTATGTTGATTTGTCATTTGAGACTACTGCCATGGCCCTGTATGACCGTTTTGTGTTGATGTGTCATTAAGACTTCTGCCATATGGCCCTGTATGAACGTTTTGTGTTGATGCGTCATTGAGACTACTGCCATGGCCCTGTACGACATTATTGTGTTGATGTGTCATTGAGACTACTGCCATATGGCCCTGTATGACCGTTTTGTGTTGATGCGTCATTGAGACTACTGCCATATGGCCCTGTATGAACGTTTTGTGTTGATGCGTCATTGAGACTACTGCCATATAGCCATGTATGACATTATTGTGTTGATAACTACACAAAGACAATATCGCTTATATTTTATATACAATTTTGTTGATGATGATGTTTTCGTCGAGACAGTTCTAATCGCGAAGATAACTTCATTACGAATTGTTAGTTGATAACGGTAGACGCAGTGCAAGGGTAGCAATGGTATTGTAAACAGTTCTACTAAATGCGTCAGTTTATACATCTGTAGATTGCTAACATGATAGACTGTGTACGTTTGTACTCAAATCTTATAAGACCTCAAGAAAGTCACGTACTCAATAAAAAAAATCGTTCGGAACCTTTGGGTTGGGGGAGTTGCGAGAATCTTCTCACGGTGTATAACTTTCTCTAATTACGCTCGTATTAATTGGCCTTTTTTCAGAGAGGAGCTGGACCCGTGAGGTATGAAGCCGGGACAACAACAGACCAAGGTTCTGTAACTCGACACCAGCACCGTGCAAACCGAGCTCTCGTCTGCTACCTCCCGCCTTTTTGAACCCAGACATATTCTACTGATGCGGATGGGTTATCTGTGCACTGGAACATCCTGGGATATACGTAGCCACGGGGGAGTAGAATCAAGGAGTAGGAGGAATAGTACACGTTACATTGATACAACGTAACACCGTAACGACGAAACAATCAGGCATGGATGTGAACATTCTAACGATGCTGGGAAGCGCATCGAGAAACACAAATTGATAGCAGTATTTGTGAAAGTTGAAAATCAACAGTTACAAAAAGAACTTGGATAAACATGAGTCGAAGGGCGAGTTTATACGCCAAGCAGAACCCGGGGAAATCACGACCAAAAGTCCATTTCCCGGACGAACTGGTGTTTCTGGATAATATTAAGGAAAATGACATACAGGGTTTGAATACCATGTTACGTCGGGCAAGTTTACAAGTGGATATTAGCGGTATCAACGACGCAGGTAGGTTATCAGTATGTAAACTTGGTGGTGTTAAAAGTGGGTATTAGCGGTGCCAACAACACAGGTAGGTCATCAACAAATATTTGATTAAGATACAATGACCCTCCATGTAGTTAGTAGAGACGCATGTGCCAGTATGCTTGCTACATGTTACGAGAAACTGTAAACTATATGTATTATAATTATTATATTTGTCCTTACACCACTTGTCTAAATTGTAGCCAATTGTTACATGCATGTACTACATCGCGTATGGGTTCAGACCCATTTATAAACCAAATATTGACGATAAGCGTACATGGTGCTAACAACTAAGATACTATACCTAGTTCAGCTCCGGGCGCACAGATGGTAAGCTCATGTGAAGGAGGTCACCCATCGTGCTTCTGGAGCTGGACTAGAGTGTTTTACACCATATGTAATATCAAAGGCGGCGCGAAATATCATTCACTATTAAATCATGTTTGGGTTTTCGATTCCCTGGTACCGTTATCATTGGTTATGCAAAACAGAACTTTGCAGATGAATTTTGTATGTTCAATTAAATGTTTTGGGTACCCTTTTATTGATGGATACTTCAAAATAATATTAGAAACACAAAGAAATAAAATAGAATTCTTGCAAAATGACTTAACTTTTCTCCACACAAATCCCAATATAACAGACACCAGCAAATACTAGTAGTCTACTAAAACTGACCACCATCGCGGGTCGTTGCCGGTGTATTTAATGCCATATACTAAGATCAACTATATAATTGGCAGGCCTGTACAAAATCGTTTGGAGCAAGTCGCAGTATCGAAGTGTAAACAATAACCTTATCACAACAATCCCAGAACGGAGGTCGCGTGCACGTTATTGTTGTTTGATGCTAATGAAAGAATCCTGTTGTTCACTCGTCAGCTACATGTGTCGATATGTTGACGATTGCGAATTCCACTAAGAGTCTTCTCGCAATGCTTACATAAAGAAAACTCATGCATTATTTTATATCAATTTGTGAAAAGTGCCCCCCCCCTCCCCTCACCACCACCACCACCACCACCACCACCACACACACACACACAACAACAAAAATGTTATATCTGCTTATGTGAATGCCTTATTTACGTGTGTGGCTAATTACATAACTAGATGTGTGTGCGGGTTTTTAAGGAGGTTCGTGTGTAGGTTAAGGAAGTGAGAGAATAGGAACACATAGACCAGGCCCTAGCTAATGAGCTACAGAAGGAACACACAGACCAGGCCCGTAATAATGAGCTACAGAAGGAACACACAGACCAGGCCCGTGCTAATGAGCTACAGAAAGGAACACATAGACCAGGCCCGTGCTAATGAGCTACAGAAGGAACACACAGACCAGGCCCGAGCTAATGAGCTACAGAAGAGAGATTATATAGTAGTGTTATGCTAGTACCTTCATTTTAAATTGTTTCGGTGCATTGATTAAAATTGTACATGGCAACATGCACGTGAAACATACATATCTCATTTAGATAAGGCTCCTCTCCCTTGTCACGTTCAATCCATTGTGCTACTCTAGATACATCATTGGTAATTACTGCTATAAGATATTTGAACCGTTAAATTTCTTAACGGATCCGCTCGATCTTATCGTTTAATGGAACGGATTCCGCTGTATTTGTGTTCTAGCCGGGTTTTTGCCAATGTTTCAGCAGATAATGAATCAACAATGAAGCAGGATTAGGGAAGCTGATGGTAGACTTGTGATGTTATAGCCCAATAGGTTATATAATATATAAGAGGATATCTTATGCTCATATGATAGTAGGTGTTATGGTCGTTTTACAGCTACTTACCTATTAATGAAAAGAAAATTCAAACGGGACCAAACTCGTTGTAAAAAATGTATATGTTTTACAATTTAAATTTGCACTTTAAACGAGCCATTGCATTCTACACTACACTATGAGATCTGAAAACGATGGGACAATGGACAAGGTTATATATAAATTCATCAGAGATGCTAAGCACTTAAGATATAATGTTTAGTGTATGTATTTAAATATTTAAATACTCATTGTAGAAGTAATCTATCACTTACCCAATGCATGAAGAATATAAGTGCATGTGTTTATTCTGAAATACAATGGCGAATATTGATGTCACTTTACTGATTTCCTAAGAAAGAATTTTGAATCTTGAAATGAAGTAAAACTAAATATTACTTTAGGTTTTCAACTTATAAAGCAATTGCGATGGAACGTATCGATGTGAGCTCATCTTCAAAACATTGCCGGTTTCATTCTGGACCTGGTCCCTTCTCCGTTGTACCGAACTGTCACCTCCCATGGGAAATGTGGGTAGAGCTACACCATTAGAGCAGGACTAGGCGGCCATGGTTTCATTAGAGGCCAATGTGTAACACATGTCGATACGGCAAACCACACGATTGAATACATGTAATGCTTTCCGATCTGGTTAAATCCGAGGGTTTTATTCCTACCGTACTAAAATCCCATGTGAAGGGTTTTAAGTTTGATTACACAGCTGTGACAAAGCTCATTGTGAATCGGTGTTAGCCAAGACATCACATCAGCTGGAAATGGACAGCCTGTCACACGGCAGCCTTGTTTTTTACGGGGCGTCATTTTCCCCTCTTTTGTTCTTGTTTTGAACTTGGCTGTAACGTTTGGCATCAGAGGTCGGAATTCTTGCGTTTTTCGTAAGGAAATTGTTGTCAAAACATAATTCTGTTTTTCGTACATTGAAACAACCCTCACAAACGAAATATGTGTCAAATCCATTCAGTTAAACATTCCAAAAGCAGTCAAATGTGTGTTACGGGCAAAACTGGGAAAGGTAAAAGGTAAAACATTGTTGTTTTTTTACTGTTTTTTTTTTTACAATAGATTTTTCAGCAATAAGAATATCTCTGATATATTGATTATGCTAACCTTGAATCCCTTCACGACTACCTTTCCTCCGACTGATATTACTAAGCAGCAACATTTAATCGAGATTTAAGACGAGAGCATACGCCGGGGTTAGTGTTGCCACTAGATCACGAGACAGAAACTGTAATCAAACCACGAGCTGGACTGGTGATGCTGGCCTTTGATGTTGGGAAGTAACATCCGGCAGACAATTAATACAGTGTGCTCGTACGAAACGAGGTTAGTCCTTTAACGTTTAAGTCTTCTCGGTCACGTATTTGCCAAATGGAGATTTCAAGAACATGAAAAAGAAACTCGGAGAACGATTTTCTTTATTTCTCACTTTCAGATACAGTCACACTCTTTTTTCTGTAAGAATCGGGTTTTTTTTACTGTCAATATCATTTCGTCTGCTGTCGAAATCAGGTTTTCCCTGTCATAATCAGGTTTTCCCTGTCAGAATCAGGTTTTACCTGTCAGAATCAGGTTTTCCCTGTCAGAATCAGGTTTTCCCTGTCAGAATCAGGGTTTCACTGTCAGAATCATGTTTTCACTGTCAGAGTCAGGTTTTCACGGTAAGAATCAGGTTTTCACCGTCAGAATCAGGTTTAACCTGTCAGAATCAGGGTTTACCTGTCAGAATCAGGTTTTCACTGTCAGAATCAGGTTTTCACGGTCAGAATCAGGTTTTCACTGTCAAAATCAAGTGGATTGCTAATGCAGATTCATTCTTTTGTACCGCCAGAATAGTTCTTGAGTATGTGAGATTACTTCAATGGTTTCCATGAAAATACTTCTAGGTCACTGTGAGAATACTTCTAGGTTATTATGAGAATACTTCTATGTTATTGTGAGAATACTTCTAGGTTACTGTGAGAATACTTCAAAGTTACTGTGAGAATACTTCTAGGTTACTGTGAGAATACGTCAAGGTTACTGTGAGAATACTTCTAGTTTACTGTGAGAATACATCTAGGTTACAGTGAGAATACTTCTAGGTTACAGTGAGATTACTTCTAGGTTACAGTGGGATTACTTCTAGGTTACTGTGAGAAAACTTCTAGGTTACTGTGAGAATACGTCTAGGTTACAATGAGAATACTTCAAGGTTACTGTGAGAAAACTTCTAGGTTACAGTGAGATTACTTCTAGGTTACAGTGAGAATACTTCTAGGTTACTGTGATAATTAGTTGAGGTTGATGTTAGAATAATTTCCTCTTACAGAATCGATATTGTTTGCTGCCAGAGCAATATTTGTTACATTTGTACATTTTTTACACTGAGATGAAGCAGTAACATGTGTACAGTCCAAAACGATTTATATTAGGGACCTGACATTGCTCCCACATACCAGCGCCACACTGACGTCAACAGACTACCCTTCTCATACATGTGTGGGAGGAAAGGTTGGCTAAACCATCACAAACCAGTGCCCGTGTAAACTCGGTATCTAACATAGATTAATTTGAGGATTAACACGTTCTGTTATTTTGCACACCATTTTAATCAGATTTGCAGATATCATTATATCAATATTACGTCAGTAGAGGCCAATGTTAACATATACTGATATTATATCACGCCATTCACAGTCAGTAAATATCAGAGTTTACATATACCGATAAAAGTTGACGCACTGTGTTAAATAACGTCAAATTGACCAGACATTTTATGACACATTGTGGTGTATAACATCAAGTTGACCAGACTTGGTATGACTGTCTGTTGTATATAACGACAAGTTGACCAGACACGGTATGACATTCTGTGGTGTAGAACGTCAAGTTGACAAGACTTGGTATGACATTCTGTGGTGTATAACGTCAAGATTACCAGACTTGGTATGACTGTCTGTTGTATACAACTTCAAGTTGACCAGACTTGGTATGACATTCTGTGGTGTATAACGTCAAGATTACCAGACTTGGTATGACTGTTTGTTGTATATAACTTCAAGTTGACCAGACCTGGTATGACACAGTGTGGTGTATAACGTCAAGCTGATCAGACTTGGTATGACTTTCTGTTGTGTATAACATCAAGTTGACCAGACTTAGTATGACTGTCTGTTGTATATAACGTCAAGTTGACCAGACATGGTATGACATTCTGTGGTGTATAACGTCAAGTTGACCAGACATGGTATGGCATTATGTGGTGTATAACGTCAAGTTGACCAGACTTGGTATGTCTTTCTGTGGTATATAACGTCAAGTTGACCAGACTTGGTATAACACATTGTGGTGTATAACGTCAAGCTGATCAGACTTGGTATGACTTTCTGTTGTGTATAACATCAAGTTGACCAGACTTAGCATGGCAAATTATGTTGTATACAACATCTGTCAGACTACAACTGTCAGAATAACGTGCTGGAAACACGCGCATAACACAGACGGAGTATTTATACAGCGCGTGCCTGATGACTTTCCTTATATCTAGGAGTAGAATGGAACATTTGGGAGAAAATCTCGGGAGGCGAAAAATTCGATAAAGGTTTTGAATTCAATGCCCAACATCCCTTGCTTCATGTATATGGTGGACTGCATCTAAAACACGAAAGTCGTTCTGATTTTCGCTTTTCGTTAGAGATATCTCTAAAGACAAATCACTATCTACGCGAGGTGTTATTAAAAAGCTGTTGTTCATTTAGAAGGCGGTAATATCTCATACATTTTTTTACCTTTGTATTTACTTCTAGACGTGAAGCTTTTATGCTCACTCATGGTGTGTATTTATATGTTGGTGTGCATATAATAGCAATAGGCTATAAAAATGATAATTTCATAAATGCGCTTTATAAATTCGTGGTTTTTTATTTTGTCGTTTTAAAGCCCGAAAGGAGTTTTCTTTTAAACCCTAATAAAAAGCTTATGCGGTGGATGTAACGCGTTTACAGCATATCCTCACACATGTCATTAAAATCTTGTAAACCATTTTAATGTACCTTCTTCAAGAACCTCTGTAACTCCAAACGTTCACTATATCAGTAGTCTTGTTAAACAAAGTATGAAATATGAACGTAACTGCATCAATAAAATTTGATAATAGATGCTGAAAATGAAGGAAACTGCGCCATACAGCTGTTTCACCCTCCTTTGACTCATCAGTGATGCTAGGCACAAACCAGTTTTGTTTTTCGAAAGAAGAAGGGTAGGTCGATTGTAGCATATATGGGCTTATCCAGGTTAGAGAAGAGAGAATAAGAAACAAATTATCCTTTGAACTCAAGAAAAAAGACTATACATCCTGATCGGGTGCCTTTCTCCCCTTCCGTTCTTTTCAGTAGTACTTTTGGATAAGTCAGAAATCACCCACCGACCTAGAGAAAGTGATTACGATAAAAAATATTCAGGCCACATTCAATATCTCAAAAAAAACTTACTCAAACTGTTTGTCAAAACGAATTTTCGTTGTTTTACGTGTTTTGGTCATTGCGTTATTACCGACATTTTAGCTTCGTACGCGTTCACGTTAAATGAACTCTCAAGCCAGATACTTCATGTCAAACTCGTCAATCTTCGTGGAATCGTACTGCAGCCGGACGAAACGGCTAGGTATTGCAATGAGATGCTGCTACATTTTCAAGAACGGTCATCTCAGTATATGTCCTTAAAAATCACAGTGTTTTAGGTGTAGAAGACGCTATCCAGACGTCCCTCACTCTGAGACATCGCAACAAATGGAGGAGAGTAACAAAAGAAAGAGGAAGTCCTTTGTCAACCTGAAGAGAGATAATTTTCGACATTTATTAACAGTTAACTTCCCAAACCTTGTGTTGCCATGCACTATTACAGAAAATTGTCTCATTGCGAAACTTAAACAGCTAGTCTCTGACCAATACAAACTACGTTAACCGCAAACAGTGATAAAAATCAATGGAAAAGTCAACGTTGATAGAAATATATACTGCCAAATTTATAAAAGTAAAGTACTAGCCGACTCCAGGAAAAAACCCGAACACAGCACGTGTTTAGGTCAATGAAGCTAAGAAGAGTAAAAGCAGGCTCTACCAAAATGTAATTGGAATGTTTTACGAAGAAAGGACAATCAGAAGAAGAAATGCGAGAAATGCAGATTAATGTTGGCTGGAAATGACAAACAAAATGTGTTACCTAAAGAGAACTCACATCGACCTTTGTAAACCAACGAAACTATGAAGGAGAATAAAAAATGTTGAAAAATAAAACTCTGTAAGAACTTCACCAGACTGTTACCAGATCGCAACAGTGACAACAATAGGCATACCTTAAGTTCTTGATAACGTTTATTAATTATCGTATACTATAGCTTTGACGAACACATTCGGTATCCTCTTTCTTTCTAATCTTTCGCATTCTTTAAACCCTTTATTATTAATTTCGGTTTTAAAACTACAAACTGTTGCAGTTTTTATTGCATTGTCATTAAGTAACAGTTGTATACGTCTGAACTTGTGAAGTGCGAAATGGAAACCTTAAAATTAGCGGTACGCTAGGTGGCCAGTGATACGAGCAGCGTTATGCACTGTCTACAACAACAGACTTTGGCAGATGTTAGCTGCCATATCTGTGATATAGGAGGTACCTTGCAGTAAGTGCATACATGTGTGCTGTAATTTAAAGTATAACAGAGTTGCCTCTGAAACACTTAATATTGCAAAATTTAAGTATCTTTTTCTATATCAAGAACAAATCTTGAATTTAGATGACCATATTTAAGTTTTTAATATACTAAAACATCGGTTGAAGATGCTATAGAGCTTGGATACCTCATTTTCAACTCTTTATAGGTTTGCCTTACGTTTAAATCATACGTAAATTTGGTGCTAACTCTGTTCACGTGACAACAGGCATTTGCTGAACCGGAAGCAGTTATCGTAATTCTAATTTACATTTGTAGTTGAATGGGTTTTTGTTACCGAGGTTTCTTACGAAGACAAGACTAATAGAATTATTTTGAGGAAATATATTAATAAATCAATGTTAAGATAAATGTAACCCGGTGATGTCACCCTAAGATTTGGTACTAGGTACTCACAATGAGTTACACTGCACCATACAACATAGGTAAACCGATGGCGGACGATACTCGTACATCACACATGTGCTTTTGTTTACAAAACAGACAAAGGATGGAAGAAAAGTAATGACTTTACCTTGAGGTTACGGCAAAGAAATCTCAACACTCGTGGGAACATTCTTTCTTGAATGCGAAACTCGACAAGCTTCTTGGACATTCATGAATACCAGATTTGGGTTTTAGTTGTTCTATATTATGGCATGGTTTATTAAACTCTCATGACAACCACATATATATTAAAGTTATTGAAACGGTCCATGTTAGGACACAACACATTATTATTAGAACGCTATATAATCATTTCGTGGGCTGACCTCTGTCATTTCGTTCCCGACTTATTCGACTACCCTTTCCATGGCGTCCCCCTTGGCACCCTGGCTACTGTTGTCAGAATAAATATCACTGGATGGGGTACCATACGACCGTGCCCTGGTTATCATGCCATTTCATGAGTCGCTCTATCATATGTCGTCATATTACCTTAATGTGATCTGGTGTGATCGTCAGAACCTAATTAATTTTCATTACTGTTGTAGGTCTGACCCCGTTACACCAAGCGGTACTGGACGGAAACATGATGGCCGTTCGTCTGCTCATCGAGCATGGCGCCAATGTAAACAAACAAGACGAGGACAGTTGGTCTCCATTACACGCCGCATGCGCAGAGGGACACGCCGATATTGCGAAGTAAGTTGCAAGTGGTAAACAGGGGCTATCATTGTTTCTTCTGTCATAACGTCTCGGAAGATATTACAAAGAACTGGTTTTACAAAAACAAAACAAAAACAAAAAAACATATAGATAACTATTCAAGCAAACACAAAACAAATAATACAAAATCAATTAACCCATTCACCCCGTAAGTCAAACTTGAACCTTACCAAAGCAAAGTCTTGGCAGGTACAGTTAAAATATGTAGGATGAATGAGTTAATTTACCGGACATAATTACGTTTCATTCAAACTACCTTAATCAGCGATAAGCTGGATGCCAAAATGTTATAATTAAAAAAGGTGTAGATAAAACGAAAATACATACATTTTTGTATATTCACCTTTTACCTTGGGACTTCAACCCAGAATCCTTTCTCATAAACTCAATGGCGTGGTTTATTTATCCAGAAAGTGCATATCCAGAAACGAATTTAATCACGCACTTTCTCTTTACGAGAGGTCAACAGAGATTCAGAACGTCAGCCCTACACATGTGCTTGTACCTTTACAATTAATACATTACAAGTATTCCATATACTACCATATAAAAAGTTCATCATATCATTTTTAACATTTGATATATTGCCATAAAATACCCGTACTATATTAATTATAATTGAAAACATTGCGTCTATCTTCAGACTGCTTCTTCAACACGGGGCTAAGAAGGACTTGTTAACAGAAGACGGAGAGCGCCCCCTGGATCTAGTAGAACCTACAGACTTCCCAACCATTAAAGTTATGTTAGGGCAGGGTAAAGGCAACGCCTCTCCCCCACCGCCGGACTTGGGATCAGATGACAGCGAGGAAGAATCAGACGATGACAAGTAGTAATTGTGTGATGTGTTGAAAGATTCTGTTGAAAGGTCATAAAAAGGTCTAGTTTGGCACGCCTAACAAATTCCGTGAATCCTCGCAAATCTTACGGGATTGTGTTAACGAAAATGAATGACGACATATACATTAAAGCTAATTGTCCTGAGTAATATTGATGACAAAACGAGCGTTGCATTAGGAAACCAATTGACATCCCACCAATGTTCGTGTCGCATACGTTTGCACAGGATTTAAATGGAACTTCCTGCCATTAATCATTGCCAAACCGCCCATATATATGAGGAAAGAAAGCGTGTAAGACCAAACAGAGACCATGCCATTTTATAAATACATTGCGTGTTTGTGCCGTACTGTTAGTGTTGTGCTCGTCCATTACAGTTAGATGTTTTTATCCCAGCATCAACAAACCAGTCAGAACTCAGGGTAAAACATCCGGTCTAAACAACCAGTACATTATTTCCAACAAAGGACAGCTGAGTGCAATCTCTCCCAGAATGCAATGTCGCCCCATCCCGTAGCGTAGGAAAACGGTGGGAGAGATTGCGCTATGGTGAAGCTCTAGCGAGTTGTCTCCCTTGAACATCAACTACGGGATCGTGTTGCGTGAAGAACAGTCCAATGACCTATAATATATTCGTAAGATACACGTCATTGTTTCACAACTACAAACTTGGACCGAATTATAATTGTGACAGTGGTTTCCGATGAAGTCGACTCGACAGTTTCAATGGGAAGGGAAGGGCTAACTCAACACGTGTTTATCGTAACTGTTACTTAATTTTGCACCAGCGGACATTTTTAAATCACCAGTCACATTTCTACAAACCGACCGAGACATCGAACGTCCACCCCTCACCTGTTGTTGTGCGCATGCCTGCTAGCCATTATACAGAAATTGTCTGTTAAATAAACATGTATAAAATATTTGTTTTCCATTTGTAATAAATATTAAATGTTTTGACAATTCCTTGTTCCTGTCTTTATTTAACCATAAATGTCTTCTCAGCCCTGCATTTTCTTAACTAGTGCAAAATAACGTTGTGATGCATGTCCCATTGTTGTTTCCAGTCGTTCAGTAGTTGTGGTTGGTTATATTGTATTAGGCTTGTTCATCTAACCCCGTATACTAAAGTCGGTAAAACTGTTCTCAGGCTCAAAATCCAAAGACCAATTACCTGCTTGATCCCATTGTCGGAGGCTTGACCCATGATTTGATGAAATAACATCATGATCAGTTGATTTCAATATTATGTGTGGTAACATGTATGCGATACACTCATACATTGAGGAACGTTTGATTACATGACCGCAATCGAAAAGGTTCTAAAAAGGGCCACAGAACGCTTATATTACTATAAATAAATAAACTTTGGATATCACCTACAAGGATCGCTCAAACATCTAGGTCTACCAACGTTCTAATACAGGAGAGACAGAGAATATTAGAAAATACAAGTTTTCAAAATTCTTCTCAGTGTAGATGAAGTGAATGTGTACTATGGGTACAGAGGAAACAATCACTCTGCCATAAAAAGTCACGCAAAATGGCTATTGAAAAGATATGTACGTCCAAGCTCCATCAGTCATGCCTCCGGCGACAGTGGTAAAGGTTTGACGCAGCTCAAACGAGACAACAGTGTACAAAGATGACATTGTTAAAAAACACATTACTGTGTATGGTGAATTAGTTCGAACAGCATTCAGCTAATATGCTATTATTTTAACTTGATATATTTGGAAGTTCGAATTATGTAAACTAGCATAACCATGAGTTTCAGCATGAAATGGTTGTATGAATACAGAGATGGTTGTATGAATACAGAGATGGTTGTATGAATACAGAGATGGTTGTATGAATACAGAGATGGTTGTATGAATACAGAGATGGTTGTATGAATACAGAGACGGATTTGCAGTAATTAGACCGCATCTTGATTAAGGCGATTCAGTACACTTGTACCGAGAAATACCAATATGATTGAAATCATCTGTTAAGGCGTAGGACGTACGAAGTTAACGAAGCCATGTAAAAGCAGATTGGAGAAATACAAGACGGTCGACAAGGATGCAACTGGTAATGAATAGTTGCAGTAACTTTACAAACAGAAACTTAAATATAACAAAGTATTAACTTCTATTGCATAGATGTTGAGATAAAATCGGTATACATGTATAACTATGGATTATGAATGCTTCAATTAACTGGGAAAAAAATTGTGAAAGAGTTGAAATAATAACATTCTTATACTGTAATTTTATGTTGTGTCACAAGAAATAGCGATGTAGTGAAACTTTTCATGAAAACAGTGAGCATTTGCAAACATGTCATCAGCATTAATCTATATTTTTTTTTATGCTTTTAGACTTTTATTTCAAAAATAAGTATACCACAACATTAACATTGAAAAACATTAATATAAGGTTATTGCTACAAGTATTTAAAAATCTGATTCATGTAGTCGTTTCGAGTTTTACATATTTTATTAATGAAATCCATAGTTAACTATTCTAACCTTTGAATTGGAAGAGTTCAAAGGGGTGTTTAGAGGCGAATGAGTTAATATCAACAATATCACTAACATGTCACATTTAACTTTCACATGTTAGTTTTAATTTTATGTTTGTCAGGTGTCTGTAACAAGACAATAACAAACAGAACATATTACAACATCAGTGGAGGGACCAAAAGTCGGTTACATGTCATTCGTTTATTTCTCAAGTCTTGCTCAGTACAATTGACCATCAAGGACAGAACTCGGTTAACTCCGCGTTACGTACGGTTACACTGTAAATTAAAGGATAGCGACGATTGTCGTATCAGCGATGAATTGATCAACGATGAAAATCTTACGTAAGGATCAACACGCAAATTGACAATACAGGTCATGTTGGTTTGGTTTGGTTTAATATTGTTTAACGTCCTATCAACAGCTATGGTCATTTTAGGAAGGCCTCCCCTGTGTGCAAGATGCATGCGTGTAGTGTATGCGTGTGTGTTTTGGGAGGCTGCGATAGCACGGAACTGATGCCGACTTTATAGTGCTATGTCACCGAAACATACTGCCGAAGACACCCAGCAGGACACCCCACCAGATCACATTATACTGACAACGGGCGAACCAGTCGTCCCACTCCTAAATTGGTGAGCGTTAAGCAGGAGTAGAAACTACCATTTTTTACAGACTCTGGTATGTCTCGGCCAGGGGACAGAACCCAAAGCTTTCCTCACAGGGGCGAACGCTCAACTAAGGACCAAAAGTGAGGCATTGTCAAGGGAGACATTAGGAATAAGAAAGTTGTTTAGAAATAATAGAAAAGATAAGATCCCAAATTTAGTCGCCTCTTACAGGTCATGTTACATGGTAACTAGAGGCATCGACGAAAATTGAAAATACTGGTAGACTATGCATTAAAGTTCCTCCTTAAGAGGTAAGAAAGTTTCTAAGACTTGTCCGAGTTTTCTTCCTTTGATATGGTTAAATTCACATCACATTTACGATAGCAATATCGGAATTTTGTATTTCACTTTTACCACTTAAAATCGTTATATCTAATGTTTGCTATACACACATTTTGATTGCAATGTTTTTCATGACGTTTAAATTCATTGAATATACCAAAAGCCGCGAAAACAGAGGTGCATAAAGTATTGGATGTCATTAGAGTACGTCGTACTCCTAATTAAGGGAGTAGTGATGTAAAGGAACGTAGCTGACGCTTTCCATCCTCAGACGGTTTCTTGTGTATAAGATTGTCTGGATTAAAAAAAAGGCTGCGAAAACGTAAAACAAAAACAAAAAATCAACATTTTCAATGAGTTAGGAAAGTGAAAGTACAGGTGAAGTGTATTCAACACAAACAAACAATGGGATCACAACTACGGGACAGTCTTTTTAAAGTTGAGATGTTCGAAACCCTGTTAAATAAATTCAAAGTTCTGTTAATAATCCTAGACTGGCATTTCTATAACAATTATGATTAGTGAGATGATACATGTAGTTATGCATTGTATTGATTAATGACAAAAATAACAAACATTATCATACATGTATGATGCACTGAAAAATGGTGATAAGCATACTCGAGTCGTTTCTACGGTTTGAATTGATTTATTTCTGCAGTAAGCCAATCACACACGAGCTAACGTTTTCAGCCGAAAGGGCTATTTTAGTTTCCAAATGCTATGACATTTGGCTTTCAGTTACATGCCATGACACGACATCGTTGTTCACCGATTCTCTTGGCATAAACTTGCAATATCGGAATCAAGCTTGACACACATACAGAAAACGACTAGAGTTAGCATTATTAGAAATGCTGAATTCATCTACTTGGGTTAAAAACGAAAACAACAACAAACAATTTTAGTTATTTATTAAAGCGATAAAAAGTTCAAATAAACAAGGTGAAGTGAAAATAATTCATTTTGTCTGACAAATTAAAACCAGATACCTTTAACCGCTAAAGGTTTGAGTAGGCCTCCTCAAGCAGAGATTAATCTCACTTACTCCATAATTAATATTTACTTGAGGTAAGCTCTAAGAGTGTGTACTAGTGGGGCTAGGTTTTAGTCTTCCATGCCTAGTTACATCATGTCATTTATGTTGTTTCCTTACGTAATGCATTCCCTTTTGGGAAGTAATTCGAAACCTGATAACTATCTGAAATTATTGAAATGTTTGGACATTTATTGAACGAATAAGCGAATATTTGTCTGTCATTTACGGGATCACAACTCGAATTTGAGGAGAGAAGTCATTTGACGAATCTTGTACAAACTGTTACAGACATCATTTCAAAACTAGAATACAAATTTGTCACACAGACTTGATAAAAAAAGGTTCGGGTATGTTTAGTTACCCAGCCCATAATCCTCTCAATAACCATTTTCAAAGAATATTATCTACCTGTTGTCAATTTATAACTATGATTAGCGGAAATGTCATGTGACCATTTCGTTAATCTCTTACAGACTCCATCCTAAAAATAGATATAAGAGCCACAGACCAAAATGGACCGTACCACTGTATGACTTAGAGTGATTTAAATGGGACATGAGGTGTGAGAAGTTTAGATATAGAAAGACATGCATAACAAAATAAGTACCGCCTTAAAGACCTCAAAGGAGCAATATTGACCTCGATCATATAGTCCTAAGTGAATATTACTACGACGCAGAGCAAATCTAGGTCCGTGGTACAACAGATATATCGGTGAATATCACTACGACGCAGAGCAAATCTAGGTCCGTGGTACAACAGATATATCAGTGAATATTACTACGACGCAGAGCAAATCCATGTCCGTGGTACAAGATATATCGGTGAATATTACTACGACGCAGAGCAAATCCATGTCCGTGGTACAAGATATATCGGTGAATATTACTACGACGCAGAGCAAATCCATGTCCGTGGTACAAGATATATCGGTGAATATTACTACGACACAGAGCAAATCTAGGTCCATGGTACAACAGATATATCGGTGAATATTACTACGACGCAGAGCAAATTAGGTCCGTGGTACAAGATATATCGGTGAATATTACTACGACGCAGAGCAAATCTAGGTCCATGGTACAACAGATATATCAATCAGTGAATATCACTACGACGCAGAGCAAATCTAGGTCCGTGGTACAAGATATATCGGTGAATTTTAACAAACTTTAAAGTCACTATTTTCCAAGCTTTCGGGCTTAGCCCTTCGTCAGGGATTAAATGTCACCGGACCTCTATGTCACATCCATCTTGACAAACATGTTGAGTAACTATCATGTTTGTCAAGATGGATATCCCTGACGAAGGGCTAAGCCCGAAAACTTGGAAAAGAGTGACTTTAAAATGTGTTACTAGTATTGCGTTCCCTATAGGAACATATGTTTATAGGCAATTCGTGAATGTTGTTTTCTCATATGTTGTTTTCTCATGTACTATAGAAATCACATATGTTTGACAAATGCATAGGCAGTATACCATGCATATTTGTTCATCTTGACCCAGTTGTCCAAACTATTTAAAGCTGACAACTCTAACCACGGTGTTACAACATTATTAACTTAACAATAGTTTTGAACAGCTGGGGCCGGAAGCCCCCTAAAAACACATTCATGCACTCAAAACAATCGTCCAATCTGAGATGTCACATGAACAATTACATGTATTATGGCTTTTCAATATATGTTCAATTCTTATTTATATATACATATTATATTTTCTGTAAAACCCTCATAACCCTATATCAAATGCACCTCTTGCAAACTTGAACCAAACAACTGTGGCGGAAAATAACGATATGGAGGACAGATAATTTTTGGAACCAAATTGTGTTTCAATTCGTCTATTTGATCATTAGATAACAACTGTAGAGATCCAGGTAAAATATGAGTAATTCCGGCTACAGTGGTGATACACCTCGTGTACATGTATTGCACGTCGTGAAAACTGGTTGTATGCTATATTAGGGTTTACTAGGTATGTATAAAAAGGTATAGAGAGAACCACAGAAAACCTGTTACATATTACATGTATCTACAAAAGTATAAAAGGATCGACGTCAATATAAGTAATCAAAACCAAAACTAACGTAAAGCAACAGACGCCAGTGTAATTTATATAAAGAAATAGGTTAGCTTCTTCCTGACTTTCCTTGTGTACGATTTTCACTATTACTGAACCTTAAGAAAAATAATCCCACGAATTCAAAATAGTCCCCTTCTGCATATATTCACAGTAGTATACTCATATTCAACAATAAAATCAAATGTACAAGGTTATTTTCTTCAAAATTGAAATTTGAAAATTCTACGTTAAGCAAAAATTAAAAAAAAAATCTGTCCTTTTCTTGTGAAAAAATACAGACAACCAAATCATTCATGGTATCTAGTATGGTTTAATATTTACTATTCCGGCATGACACTCACTTTATAACTCTACCAAGCCCAAATGGCATTCACACCAGCTATGAATGTCATGATTGGTGTGTTGACATCATCATTATTATGGCTGTTATTGTAACATTAGATTTCACTTATCCTCCTTGAGATAGGTGCTCTATTCTCTAAACAAGCATTTACAAGACATAGTCTAACTTTCCACGATTTTTGTTATTTAAATGGACAAATAAGTATTCGACTGCTTTCAGTCGGCATTCAAAATCATTATGAATGTAATTCTGAATGTAAGAAATTTAACATGAAGTGCTTCAAACTTAATGAGATTGGTCATGTTGCAGTCATGAGTGTTGAAAGCAGTTAGATACCTAATTATCACAACGATGAAGTGTCCATTGCTGAAATCATGTAAGACAAACAAATGAATAATTTTTTAACAATAAATTATGAGGAATGCTGTTTTGTAAATCGATAAGGTTGATTACACAGAAATGAAGGCACTCTGTTTATATAGTCATATCTTCATATTGATCAATAATCTCTGGTTTCACTCATTCACCCCTGAAGACACATTGAACTCTTCCAGTTCAAAGGTTGGAAAAGTTTATTATGAAATTTCAGGGGTGAATGAATTAAGTTGCACTGCTTGTATGTAATGGAGAGAACTGTCAGGCAAGAACATATTCCACAAAAAATGTCCACACAGGTAAACCCTAGTCCACTAACTGAACTTTTCACATATTGGGTGTCAAGACCGGTTATAATACAAGCTAAATATATCAACAGTACATAATTATGGTTAGGCAAATAACATATTGTTTTTCAAATTTACATGTGGTATGTGCAAAATATACAAATACACATAACTTATTCTGGTTAATATAGTATCCACTCTGTTATATTTCCTATGACACTAAATGCTGGTTAAATGATAAAGTACCTGGGTACTTTTTAGGTAGGGAGACAAACAATAGCTTCGCCTCTGCCAAGGACTCTTGCATGTGGTCATGTTTTTATTTCTTTATGAGAAAAGTTTACCTACTTTATTAGTTTGAGAAAGATCTTTCTTAATTTACATATTATTCAAAGATTTATTATTCATAAACAGTTCTCATTATTTTCAAATATTTTATGATCTGGTAACAATTTGCATTAATTTGAAATATATAATATTTATGGTGCAAACAAAAACGCTTATGGAAAGCTATTATGTTCATTTAAAATCAGAATAAAGTTAAAAATAAAGTTTTTGAACACTTAAATGAATATTTAACACAGTATAAAATATGTTTTTGGTTAGTTAAAGGTATTGTGACTCATTATTGTCAATATTGAGTATTGTGAAACCCTAGAACGGAGAAATGCCATGAACAAGGGTCATAGGTATCAATAAAAAAATATCTGAAAATCGGCCATCTGTGAAAAATTGTGTCTAGGCCTTATGTTTCCTGAGAACTTGTAAGATTGACAAGAATATTTTACAAAGAGAAAATATCAACAACAATTTAACAGCAATAAATACAACTCTGTAAATTATGATAAACATGCTTGTACTGCAAATTAATATGTGTGTAGTATAAGCGTAATGCCTGGTGTCTGATGTTGTTTGCCATTACCATGACAATAAGTAAACATTTGAACACACATGCTATAACTAAAGCCAATGCCTGTCAACTTCCACAAAAATCTGCTGCCGAAAGTATCAATCAGACCATTATGACAGGCGATTTTAAAATGGTTTCCCCTAACAGCAATAATCAATCACCTAAAAGATATTAAGTTTCATGGTCATTTTTTAGGTGTCAAAGAAGTACTTAAATTTCTATAAAAAGCATAAGTGAAAGTCAATTCTAAAGTCCTAAAACAATGGAAAATAGTTCAGACTTAGTTTGGGACCATGATATATAGCTGCATTTATTTAAACAAATGTCACCTTATATAATTTCTACAGGCGATTCTATGTATAAAAAGGTAAAAGTTATGTACTGTCTGCATAAATATTGATTTGACTACACATCTTAGAACTCTTGACTCAAACACAGACCCCTCCTATACCACAAAGGAAATGTGCCTTTGGTCAGAAATGTGTGTCGATGATGCTTGAAAATACCGAAAAACCCTGGACACCCATCTTTACATGTCAATAAGACAACTGTCCTGCGCACAACCTTTGTTTGACCTTTGTTTGACCTATGCATGGGTCCACTTTGAAGGGTCGCCTTCCTGTGCATGATGAGCATTCACATGATGATTGACATGTACAATTTCCCATTTTTTCATCCACGGTCCCTGTATGGTGATGTCAAACTCGTCAATCTCCTGAAAATAGAAATTATTACATCATTTAGAACCTGACTTCAATTTGTTTGGCAGAGGAATGATCCTTGGTATGAAACCATTCAATGACTCAATATATTCTCAGACAATTCGCAGAATACCTCTCATTTTAAGGGTTCTGGATTTCTCCGTCACCTCTAGCGTATGACAGATAGCACATGTAGAGAAAAAATACAATGACATCATTGGACTAATAAAACATGACAGCACCATCAGCTTCCAACTGGAGCAGATTCTTAGATGTATGTGTCTAACCTTTGGCTTGAAGCACGCCTCAGATTTGACAATCAAGAAGCTCATCTCAAAGGCCGAGATGCCTCCAACATATCCTCATTGTAGGGGATGGGTTTTTTTCTCCCAATCTTTCAACACTATATTTGAAAATGGTTTTCAGCATTTATCATCTTTTCATTCCAAGGTGTCACCAACAGGTCTGTCACAGGCGAGAGAAATCTTTTTCTCCCACCTTTGCCTGAACTATCTGTCAATTTACCTGTTCAAGATTTCTGTGTCACCCGGGGCCGACTCATTATTTACAATTCATTTTTAGATTAACCGTGAAAGTCAGTGGAAACTGATAAAATGTTGATAAAGTATTATGTGACTGTTGGTAAAATGTTGATAAAGCATTATGTGACTGTTGAGCTAGAATGTTGAGGTCAAAAGCACATTTTTTTCACTTTTCTGTCAAGCTTGCAACCAACTTTAACCCCCACACGATAAAACACTGACTTGATCATGTTCGGCGACCACTTCCTTGGCTTTTGTGTGTCTGTTTAGCGCGTTAAACTCCTCCCAGTCTATCGCCATGTCTGGGTCCTTGGACGATCTCATCAGTATACCTTCCTTGATACCGTAAAATCCGACCGGCTCCGTAGGTCTCTGCCATCTTAAATCAAAACTCCAACGTATCTGTTTAGACATGTTTGGAAGGCTGAAAGAGAATTGTGAGAGACATTAAGACAGATATATCTACATCACTGAAAATATCTTGAGACATATAAACAGTTTTCCTTTTTTTGATATAATTAACTTTATTTTCAATAATAATAATATAATAATAATAATAATATACAACATTTGATGTAGCGCCCTATCTAGCTGGAATAAGCCATTCTAAAGTGCTTTACAGTACATATCAATACAATTAGCATATATACATTAATCAATACAATATTGAGAAATTGGCAGGAGCTGACTTATCAGGCATTAACTACTAGTCCAATGCAACCTGGCTAATATCTCCCTATGTGTGTACAGTTGAATGCCTGCGTATGTGCTGGAGATTTATTGAGTTCTGTTTGTAGTGGGACCGTGCTTCCAACCGTATCATTTATAGTGCCACTTCACTTGAATGCTACAGCACAGATATAGCAACATCCACCCCAGACTAATTTATAATCCACCTGGCTTGTTGGAGTTGCGTGGGCAGGAGAAAAACACTTTCTCTAAATATTCCATGAGTACGACGACTTCGGGAATCAAACCCCGGTCGCCTGTGTGGAAGACCAGAGTGCTAACCACTCGACCAATCCGCCCTTGTTATAGTGCATAAAAGACTGTAAAATTGTATTCAACTTCACATTTTCCCAGTATATAATTTGCAAACATTCTATCCCCTTATACCCAGGGCCATCACATTCTAAACAGATTTCCTGGGGGACCAGATTTGTTTGTTTACGAAGTGGGATCGACAAACCAAGGTTATGATGTCGCTCTCTGGTGAACCTTGACAAAACCGTTAATGGTGTCCATTTACATTAGTGGGTCCATCAGGCTTTGTCCCTAAAATACTGTATACAGGGATACATTTCACCCTCTGCAATTGGGGCAAATTTATAATGACAGCGAACATTAGTACATGACATACAATGTATAGTTATTACATCTGAAGGATGAAATTAACACTGTGCAAATAAGAAATTTTACTGTTGAAGGGCAAATTATCGAATGGGTGAAAATTTACTGGTATACAGTATTATATTCATCCTTGATACTCCAGGAGTTACGCTCACTTACAAAATTGATGGCTCAGAGTGCGCCACGTTCTTTTGGTGTACATCAAAAGAATCTCGAGGTTGCGTAATGGTAAAATTGTCTGGCTTTGAAGTCGGGCATCGCTACACTGTAATCTTCAAAGGCCAGCTATCAGATTAGTGATTGGTCAGGTTTTTTTTACATGAACCCAATCAAATAGTTATCTGCATGCCTTCAGTTTTGCTTTACACATATTCCAAGGGTGCAGAGAACGCAAGTGAGCACAACCCCTGGAGTATCGAGGATGTGTCATATTGAAAACAGACAAACCAGTTTTCAAAATAAACAAACAGGCCACAGGTTAGCAGTCATACCTCCTGTGTGGTATCAGATTGTTAAAGAGCAGCATTCCTCGATAAGGTATGGGGCAAATCTGTATGTCCTTGTCAACGTCTATGTCTGTGGAAGAAACAAAAAGATTAGCAAAACTTACCGATACACTCAGAAGTTAACAGAAAAGAGAGAAAAAAAATGACCACTGAAATTGTCTTGAGAATCCAATCTGTAATTTCGGTGCATTTCAGTGACTCCTATATGACTTTTTACTAGGTTTCTGAATTTTAAACGAAACAAGATATCACTGACCATAAGAAGTCTATAGACAGATTAAACTACTTGGAGCTTGGTACAAATTGAGTTTAAAAGACTTTCTTCTTAAATATGATCCATAGACTTTTCAGAACAAAATTCAAGCATACTCTTGCAATTTTTCAGGTCGAAGGTTGACATTTTCTGTTTTTATAGAAAGAATACCATTTGAAAGGTACAGAATTAAAACTAATCACAACAGATTTAAATTAATCAACTTTTAAACATAATTATGTGTCAAAAGTTTAAAACATTTTTTCATTTATAAAACTTTGTTTGCATCAGTCCTTCCTATGAAATCCTAAAAAAGGAAAACCTGTTATTTGTCTCTAGTAGATAAATATTTCAACACTTTCCAATGATAGACCTATTTTACAACACCTTTCAATGATAGACCTATTTTACAATACTTTTCAATGATAGACCTATTTTACAATACTTTTCAATGATAGACCTATTTTACAATACTTTTCACTGATAGACCTATTTTACAACACTTTTCAATGATAGACCTATTTTACAATACTTTTCAATGATAGACCTATTTTACAACACTTTTCAATGATAGACCTATTTTACAACACTTTTCAATGATAGACCTATTTTACAATACTTTTCAATGATAGACCTATTTTACAATACTTTTCAATGATAGACCTATTTAACAACACTTATCAATGATAGACCTATTTTACAATACTTTTCAATGATAGACCTATTTTACAATACTTTTCAATGATATACCTATTTTACAATACTTTTCAATGATAGACCTATTTAACAATACTTTTCAAGCACTGACCTCAACTATAGCACTTTTTAAGGCCTGTATGAACTATTTTACAGTCAAAGCAGCCTTCTTCGGACTAGGAAATAAACTCCGAGGAAATTCTGCATGGAGTTTCAGTTTAAGGATCTTGGTACTACTGCCAAAATCTTTAACTTAGTACTGGAAAATGCTTTTCTATTACTATAGCCTTGCTAAATCATTTCCGACAAGAAAACCATACCTAGCGGGGTTTTTATGAAAAAAATATAGATGAAAGAAACAAAATGTATAGTGCAACAAATCCAGAGAGGCAAGCCCGGGTTTGTGCGACAGCTATAATATCCAAACTTCAGGGGAGGTAACTGTATAATGGGATAACGGCAGTGAAGAGGGACAGGGATCCTTAAGTTAAGGGAACTAATACTGATTTGTTTTCTATTCAAAGTAAAAATAACAAACAGGGAACTATTTACTACCATCATTTCCTCCTGTATACATCTGGTTTAACTTGTTACAGGGCATGCTTACCTAGCTTTTTCTTCATCTCCTCCTCCTCCAGCATCACGTACCAGGTGCCGCCATGACAACACTGGTGGGTGGCTATCTTGCCAGTCTTGTGGCCCCTGCCTGCCATCTACAAAGAGATTCATAACACCATGAGTGCAATAGCATATATAAACCAAAATAGAATCTGATAGATTTAACAAGATATAACTCTTATTTTTTTTTATATAAAACATCGATATTTCTTAACAAAACACTTTTCAAAAACAAAATTAAAGTTAACCATTTATTTAAAAATTCAAACATTTTTTGTCAACAATGTTTCTTTTGTTTTACTCAGGCCTAAAACAAAACTGTATCGATCCTAATCCTATTGATCTATAACATGAGCCCAACACAAGGAGAATCCAAGAAAAAGTCAACAGATCAGCAGGGATTAAATCCTCAACAAACAAACAAAAATTAAAAAACTGAAATATGAACAGGATGTACCTGCATACAGCCGTTGTTCTCATCAGTGTCCAGCAAGGGGATCCAGGCCGTGGGCTGGAGTACAGTGTACGAACTGTTGTCAAGGTAACCAACATCTGCAATACAAAACAATATAAAAATTCAACTGGATGGTTTTCACACACTTTCTGAATTCTCATAATGAATTTAATTTCCAAATTAATGTATGTTCTCAAACTTGACAATATTTCCGAGACTGGGTGCTGAATTAATGATGAACATATGGTTGACCACCTTCATAAAATCTCCCATATACCATGTTTAACAATAACTTGCCCTGATCTTCTCTTTCAGATTTTAGCTAGCTTAAGTTTGATTTTGTCACCATTATTGGATGATTGTATAACATCCTATATTCTATTCAATCCAATGTTCAGACAAGGAGGAACCTTTTGTACTGTAACAGTGATAATTATTTCGCCTTGTGGTGTTTCCTCCTCTGGAATTTTAAGACACTTATGCCAAAGCGTTGAATTTGTTCGTACATGTACTTACAAACTACATTCTACTTTCTGCTACATTTCACAAGTGTCTCCGGTTTGAGCCGGGAAAGATCAGCTTGTCACCCACTAAGGGATGATAGCCTTGTGCCGATTAGCACGTCTTCAATTTTAATGTCATAAAAATGTGTCACCGGTAATTGTGCCATCAAAATTGAATGACGATATTCATACCCCACATGTGCTTTTGTTTACAAACATGGCAGACTACTGTCGGTGGAGTTGTGACTGAAATAATAGGATGCGAGAAAAATAATCATCTCCTACCTTAAGGATGAAACAGAGAAATCTTCAACCCTCAGGGTGATTTTGTTTCGGTTGTCGAACCCTCGGCAGAGCCTCGGGTTAGACAACCAAAAAACATCACTCCTTAAGTAGGAAGTTTCTCTGTCACATTCCAAAGGTAGGGGAAGATTCTACTAATCTACACCTTTAGCTGTGTGTTTATTTCATCTTCTAGCTCAGGGACAACTTGTGTGACCCCTCTGACCTTGATGCCATGGAACTGTCGTAGCCTCATTCTGAGGTGTCTTGGTGCGAAGGTTCCACACTGGATGTCCAATGATGTCGGGACCAATCAGCTGCTCAACAACGTTTAGAAGTCTCTCGTTGGACCATAGTTGTTGTATTTCCTGAAGCATCACAGTAGGACAAAAAATAAGATCATTTCATATCTCATAAATTACTATGAAATCTCTAGTTTACATGAGGTTTTTAATTTCATTGATTTCGTGGGTGCTCTTCATCCACAAATAAAAAGGTCTATGAAGTTATTACAAGTTTGAAATAAAACTATTATCTGTATGAGTGGGTACTCGTAATCAACGAGTTCATGTACCCATGAAATGGTTATTTTTCACCAACATTCATGAAACAACAATAATGGGTAGTGAACAAGAACAACACCAGTGAACAGTTTGTGTGAACCTGTACCAGTATGATCATGGGTAGTGAACAAGAACAACACCAGTTAACAGCCTGTGTGAACCTGTACCAGTATTATCATGGGGAGTGAACAAGAACAACACCAGCTAACAGTTTGTGTGAACCTATACCAGTATGATCATGGGTAGTGAACAAGAACAACACCAGTTAACAGCCTGTGTGAACCTGTACCAGTATTATCATGGGGAGTGAACAAGTACTACACCAGTGAACAGTTTGTGTGAACCTATACCAGTATTATCATGGGTAGTGAACAAGAACAACACCAGTTAACAGTGTGTGTGAACCTGTACCACTATTATCATGGGTAGTGAACAAGTACTACACCAGTAAACAGTTTGTGTGAACCTGTACCAGTATGATCATAAGTAGTGAACAAGAACAACACCAGTTAAAAGTCTATGTGAACCTGTACCAGTATGATCATGGGGAGTGAACAAGAACAACACCAGTTAACAGCTTGTGTGAACCAGCACCAGTATGATCATAAGTAGTGAACAAGAACAACCCCAGTTAAAAGTCTATGTGAACCTGTACCAGTATGATCATGGGGAGTGAACAAGCACAACATCAGTAAACAGTTTGTGTGAACCTGTACCAGTATGATCATGGGGAGTGAATAAGAACAACACCAGTTAACAGCTTCTGTGAACCTGTACCAGTATGATCATGGGTAGTGAACAAGAACAACATCAGTAAACAGTTTGTCTGAACCTGTACCAGTATTGTCATGGGGAGTGAACAAGAACAACATCAGTGAACAGTTTGTGTGAACCAGTACCAGTATGATCATAAGTAGTGAACAAAAACAACATCAGTGAACAGTTTATGTGAACCAGTACCAGTATGATCATGGGGAGTGAACAAGCACAACATCAGTGAACAGTTTGTGTGAACCTGTACCAGTATGATCATGGGGAGTGAACAAGTACTACACCAGTGAACAGTTTCTGTGAGCCTGTACCAGTTAATCATGGGTAGTGAACAAGAACAACACCAGTGAACAGTCTGTGTGAACCTGTACCAGTATTATTATGGGTAGTGAACAAGAACAACATCAGTAAACAGTTTGTGTGAACCTGTACCAGTATGATCATGGGTAGTGAACAAGAACAACACCAGTGAACAGTCTATGTGAACCTGTACCAGTATTATCATGGGTAGTGAACAAGAACAACACCAGTGAACAGTCTATGTGAACCTGTACCAGTATTATCATGGGTAGTGAACAAGAACAACACCAGTGAACAGTTTGTGTGAAACTGTACCAGTACGATCATTGGTAGTGAACAACACCAGTGAACAGTTTGTGTGAACCTGTACCAGTACGATCATGGGGAGTGAACAAGAACCACATCAGTGAACATTATGTGTATGTAAACCTATCGTCTCACCAAAGGCATCGACCCCAGCTTGTGGAGGACTATGTTGGCGCCAGGGAACTCCTTTTCAATAATTGACAGTCTCTCAAAGAATCCATACTCCTTGTAAAGTTCTAAAAGAAACACAGAAAAAACATTCGTTAGAAATGAATTCCTCTTATTGAGCAACATTCAATATTTCTTTTCGAAATGATTTTAATATCTAATATTAAGATCGCTGTGAAGTTTAAAGAATGAATTTATGATATTGTAAAATATGAATCTAAGCAAAATTCAGCTACCCAGTTGGTCGTTGACAAGCCCAGTTCCGCTACATTTGTATACATGGTTCTTGTTGTATGTTTAGTTTATAGTCTAAATTGTATCAGAACAGCTACATTCAGATGAGGTTATTGCAAATTTTAAACATATAGGCATCAAAAGATCTGTGTCTCTGTGTTGGAAGGGGTGCAGAACCTCTATCCCTTTCCCCCTTAACTCTCTCACCCAATCCGGTCCCCATCAGAATGTGCCAATATATTATTTCCTCAGGTGTAAGAGTAATCATAAACCCATACTCTTGATTTTGCCAGCATTGTACAGCTTGAGAGCCATTTCGTCAATTAGTCGTTTGATAGCATCCTTGCAAGCCTCCAGCTCCTCTGCCTTGAAGAAGTCTTCCACAATTACAAAGCCCTGCAATGCAAGGAATTAAAAATTTCATGGAACAGAAATGTAACAAATATTTAATAGAAAGAGGTCTTTTTTTACAAGTTTTAATGAGAAGATTGGAAACAGCCAAGGTGACAAGATACATACATATAAACAAACATGGGTTTGAAATCCATTGTTTTATTACAAAAAGTTTTCAGTACTTAATACAGAATAGCAGTTTTACTACAATCATTTCTGTTGAATGTCTTTAGAAGATACATAGATGAAGGTGAATGGAGAAGGATGGGCCATTTTATTTTTCAAACTTCTACTAGTAGTTTTTTTTAGCATTTAGATGGCATTTTATCTGACAAATATCTCTTAAATCTTTCCAATACCTGTGAACAACATCGTGATCTGGGTGACCTTATCGGAGCCTCCACACCTAAATGTTAGATAACATGTCCTCAAATAATTTTGTAAATTGTGGCATCACCCACAGTGTGGCCCATATTTGGTCTTTTGCCTACCTCGGTGAAGAACTGTTTGATCATGTCCTCAGGAAGTTGTCCTGGCTTCTTCTCCGTGGGTTGAGGTGGCATTGCACTTATGTTAAATTTCTCAGGATGAGCCTCGTCTGTGTCACCAGGATACTTCTTTGTGGACATGATTGTGATGTTCTCCGTTTCTTTTGAAATAAAATTTATTTATATTTTATTATGTTTTGATTAATTTTCAATGCACATGATTGCGCAAATCTTCGATATTTATGTCACTTTTATAAACACAAACGACTCGGATACTAGGTAAGAAGGACTTTCCTTACTAGCTCATTCGACATAGGGCATCAGAATTGCTTCCAGAGAGAGGCATATGTAGGGACCTGAGGAAAAGGTTGACAAAAATACTTAGCCTAAGCTTGCTCTTACAAATATTGCTGTTACTTACGAGATAAATGTCACAACAAAATTATCAAGATGATGCTGTGACATCCATATAATTTATAAATTATGTCAATGTAAACTGAGAATATGTCCAGTTGATGGCAGAAATGTGCTACAAACATGTGCTAAAACAGAAATAAATATTTTTTCAAAGTTGAATTTAAAACAAAATCAGCTGCCACATTTTTTGTTGAAAATTTTCAGATCTATACCAAATGTTTGCATACTATACAGTACTAGAGTTATTCCAGTGGCTGGCAGAAATTGCATCTCATGAAATTAAACGTAATTTGTACAAAATAAATTTAATTAATTCCAGTTATTGTATTATGGGTCTAGCATGAAACAAAGCTGTGTATTACACTGGAGAATTTCTTTTTAGTGTATCCGAGTTATCTTTCTTTGCACACTAAATCAAAATAGACACACGGAAACCATATGACGTCTCTAGATCTTCCGACGGTAGAAATTTGTTGATGTAGCTAGTTTTCTTGTTTCCTTTAGTAGATTGTGTACATGTCTATTACAGTCATTCATAATTTCAACAGTTTTCTACCGATATAAGTACGAGACCGCGGCTGCTTCTTAGTGCGCGGAAAACGATAACACAAAGCTATATATATAGCTATACCTACATAATGTCTGTATCGCAGTATCTCACCTATGGACACACAGCTGCTTCCGTTGTTCTGTTTGCACTCGTGACAGTAGATTAAAACTTCAACAGGTCTTTATATTAGAATGGTATCCTGAAATCAGATTATAACTTTGATGTTTTCCATAAATTAGTTCGGTGTTAAAAAGGCGATCATGTGACAACTCCACAGGTGTACGTGATGGACCTGGTTGGGCTGAAATAGTGTACGCCGAAAGGGTGCACAGAATCACCGAATCGGACCAAACAGAATAGGCCTATATAAAGTTATTTAAAAGGAATTAAATATGTTTGATTATACTGCGTGTAACAAAAATGTAACAGAAATAACAAAAAATACGAGGCTTATTAAAGGGAATTAAAAATATTTCAATTCTGTTTAAACCCGATTTGATATACAGAGTTGTCGTTCCTTACACGGAAGATATTGGGTTCTATTTACCTGTTTACCTGTTTACACCGTTGTTAGCTTGAAGTAGCTAATGTAGGCGCATCTTGGTTCGGTAACATACTGTTAACCGGTTGTGTAGCATAAACACTGCGATAAAACTTGGACGGTATATTTTTTTCCAAAAAGTGTTTAAACGAGATTTAAAACAGCTTAGAGATGGGGCTTCTACTACTGAGTTGGGAAGGGAGTTCCAAGAATCCACCACTCTTCTACTAAAAACTTTTTGAGTGACCCTGGTCCTGCTCTGTTTTTTGAACAGTTTTTTGTTGTTTCCCCATGTTGTTGTTTGTGTGAAGGTGAGTAATTTATCTTTATCAAGTATATCAATGTTGTTGATTAGTTTGTAATCTTCTACTAGATCACCGCGTTTTCTTCTATATTCCAATGTAGGTAGGCCTAGTCTTCGTATTCCTAAATTATACGAAAGGTTTTATAGAGATTGAATTCTTTTGGTAGCTCTGCGCTGCCCATTTTCTAAGGCTATTTGGTCCTTTTTTAAGAAAAGGGGACCAGACCTGGGTAGCATATTCCAAGTTGGGCCTAATGAGACTCTTGTAAAGTGTAAGAAACATAGTTTTGTCCATGTAAGTAAATGTCCTAAAGATTAGTCCTAGTGTGCGATTTGCTTTGTTAACAGATTGACTCACATGGTGGTTAAATTTCAGTTTGTTGTCATTTGTTACACCCATGTCTCTCTCTTTAGTATCTTTCTCAAACTGTTCACCTGAGGGGAAGTGATATGTAGAATCTTGGTTTAGGTTACCAATATTTAGATGTTTACTTTTTTTGGTGTTTAGTGTTATTTTCCAATCTGATGTCCATTGGACTATGTTATTGATATCAGTTTGTAGTCCTGCAGTCCCTGTTTGCCAAGAGATGTTTTTGAATAGTTTTGAGTCGTCAGCAAAAAGTTTCACTACACTGTGTTTGATTATATCTGGGAGGTCATTGCTGTAGATTAAAAAAAGAACTGGACCAAGGACCTTACCCTGGGGCACACCACTCGTTACATCCACTAGACCAGACAATTCACCGTTTCTGGATACTCATTGTTTTAGATTTGAGAGGAAATCTTGAATCCACTGGAGGATTTTGCCAGTTATTCTGTACCCTTGAAGTTTTTTCAGTAAGGATTTGTGAGGGACTTTGTCAAATGCTTTACTGAAGTCTTATGTTCTCTCCTTTGTCTATTGTCTCTGCCCAGTGTTCCATTACTTCCAATAGGTTTGTTGTACAGGATTTCCCAGATCGAAAACTGTGTTGGTGGAGAGGGAAGAGGCTGTTATTGTCCATATGTTCTACAATTTTGTCGCGAATTAGTCTTTGTGATATTTTCCCTGGTATAGATGTTGTGGTTTCCGCTCTTGAAGAAAGGTGTTACATGGGCAGTCCTCCAGCTGTCTGGAATCTTTCCTTCTTCAATCGATTTTTTAAATATCATCTCCAAGGGTTCAATGATTTTTTCAGATGTTTCAATAAGCAGTTTGGGGTGAAATATGTCGGGTCCAGGAGACTTGTTGGGGTTTAATTTCTTCATGGATTTTCTTATGAGTTCTGGGGTGATTTCTGTATTTGATAGTTCAGTCTGGTGTGGTCTCCATGGAAATTCAGGACCATCAACAATTTCAGGTACATTAAATACAGAGCCAAAGTAAGTGTTTAGTTCATCTGCAGTTTGATTGTTGGTGACTATGTGAGTACCGTCTAGTTTCTCCACGTTGGTTATGCTTGTTTTAGTACGGGTTTTGTTGTTGACGTACTTCCAAAAGAGCTTGCTATTTGTTTTAATGTTTTCAGACAGCTTTTTATCATAATTGAAGTGTTATGTTCTGATTCTTCTGGTTGCTGTATTTCTGGCTTTCTTTTATGCTTCGAAGTTATACTCAGTTTTGCAGTGTTGATATTTGATCCATTTCCTTCTCTTGTGACGGATTGATTTCCTCGCTGCAAGGTCGAGATACGATTTCCAACTAGCTCTGTTTTGGGTTGTCCTGTTCACGGGTATTTTGTCTTCTGTTAGTTTGGTGATGATTTCAACGAAGATTTCCCAAGATTGAGTGGTGGATTTGTTTTCAAGAAAATCATGCCAGTTCAGTAAATCTATTTCATCACGAATGGAGTTGTATTGGCCTTTAAAATAGTTCCTTCTCTCAGATTTGCTCTGAGTAGAGCATGTTCCAATTTTGAAATTAAAACTTAGTAACACATGGTCGCTTTTCCATAAGCCAGGCAAATGTTAAATATTTTCTACCATTCCTTCCTCGTTACTAAAAATCAAGTCAAGTACTGAAGGATTTTTACCTGGTCTGATCCTTGATGGATGTGTGATGTGTTGGTACATAAATGTGTCTCTAACAGATTCTAAGAATCGTGTGGCATTGTGGGTTTCAGACACGGATGTGATCCGGTTTGTCCAGTCTATTTCAGAAAAGTTGAAGTCTCCAGCTAACAAATTAAGTGGATTTACAAAATTTTCTTGTGTTGAATTGGGACTTTTGTAAATATTTGTCAGAAGAATTTGTTCTGTATTGGTTGCTTTTATTTCACACGCTGTATATTCATCAAATAATGTGGTGAATTCAACTCTTTCAACTGTTAACTTTTCGTCAACGTAAATTATGGTGCTACGTCCACCGTCGTCTTTGCCAATAAAGCATTTGTAGCCAGGTATTTCGTAGAAGGTGTTGTCCACAGGTGTGGTATTTACTTTATGGTGAACTTCTGTTAGCAATATGATATTAGGAGATCTTTTTTTCTATCAGTACCTTCAGTTCTTCGTATTTGCTGGTTGTCAGTATGTCGACGTTAGAGTAAAAGACGAGGTGTTTTTTAAAAGCTTCAGTATTTACAGATTTAAAACTAACATCCTATAGGCTGTGCTTTTGGGATTTACGAATCGCTGTTAGTAGCTGTGTGTTGGGAATCCCTCCTGCTATTGTTTGGCCCGGGTCGCCGTCTGTGATGAATGTATCAAGTTCATAGTATGCCGAACTCGAAAACGCGTTCTCATGTTGCAGTGACGTCTCTGACCTTATCGAGCTAAGACAGTCCATACTAGTTCTGGAGGGCTAGGTGACATAGGTTGTGTTCTGCTTGCAACAATTTCGTCATCGGTTTCCTGATTTGTTAGTTTTTTCTTTTCATGCATTTCTTTACGTTGGCAAGTTGTCATGCCTCTCTTGATCACTACCTTTTTTAGGTTACCAGTGCATTTTTGTGCAATTAGTCTTGCGTCTTCTAGGAGTTTTATCCTTTGTTGTTTGTTGCCTAAGATTGATTTTATTGGCCTAGTTTTCCTTTCACCGTATTTTCCAAGACGAAAACAGGTAGTGAGTTGTAAATCAGATATGTCAAGTTTAGTAGCTTCTTCTGTTACGTCTCGCATATCATTCAGTTTTTTCTCTTTACCATCTCCATGGGTTTTCTCAGGGATGTTGAAAAGAATGATATTGGTATTTCTCCTTTGTCTGTCATTCATTTCTTTTACCCTCTCATCTATCACCTTGGTCAAATCATCTTTGACTTCATCTGTTATCGAGTCTGTCATGGTTCCCATAGATTCTGTAAGTGCAGATATTTTGCTTCCATGATTGATCTCTAGGTTGTGGACTTTAGATTCCAGATTAGTCAATCTGTTGTCATTTGTTTCCTTGACATCTTTTAGGGTCTTGTTGATATTAGCCAGTGTAGGTAGTATATTGGTACAAGCCACACAGTTCCATCTAAAACCATCCAATTCTCCATCTGTCAGAAGGTCAACAAATACATGTTTCAATTTTGCACACGTGCCACAGTAGTTTAGATTGCATCCATCAAAAGTTATATAGAAGCTTCCGCGATCTAAGGTTTTGTCACATTTTGAGCACATCTCGTCACCGGATGGTCGGTGTCTCTTCGGGGGTCTACTCATGGTTAGGTTTGTTATAAATTCTTACTACTAATAGCTGGTTAAGTATGTCTAGTTTATGCCAGCACGGTTTCCATGACAGCTAAGTAGGATATTAAATATTTCTGGTCTGGTGGTGTTAGGAGTGGCTTATACTAATTAAGTGGGCTGGGGGATTGATATAGCCCTGGCAGCACGGTTATCATGCCACCTGGCTATGCCTAAAAATAGTTTGGTAGCTTTTTGTTGATCACAATGTTCAAGATGGAAGGTGATATGACAATGTGCCCACGCTATGACGGTGCCCCAAGTTTATTTTAGTTATTGATTTCGTCGTCTGTATCTAGTTGGAGTATGTCCTGTTCAGGCACTTCGCAGCTGCAGGCTATGTCCTTCTGTAGTAGTAAAGTCCAAGACTCTGCAAGTTTCGGACATGGGTGTATGCCATCTTATACAAAGATTTGTTTTATACCTAGTCTTTGAATTTATTTCTCCCACCTTGACTTTTCTGGGTGCAGTTGTTTACATGAATTGATCGTTCTACACGTTTTTTTATTTTACTCGCTGATTTTAGTGTTCAGGAGATCAACTTGTCTTCTTAAATCAACATCCTGGTTGGCATCACTGGGGTCCGAGACTCCTTTGCAGTCATTCTACCTCTTAATGGACATGTTTCATAAACAGCCCATAAACTTTATAAATGCCTTGTGTTGTTTCTCCGTAATTTTTATTGCGCGTTCATACTGTCTCACAATCTCTTCTACTGCAGAATCATCTGTGCTGGCCAATGATAGTTTTTTGGCGTTTTTAAACGTCAGGTCGCACGTTCCTCCCCACATAAATATCAAGACCGCATTGTGGTGATCAACCGCACGTT